TTAGCTGCTCCTGTCCTTTAAAACAGAGAGAGAGAGAGAGAGAGACTCAACCCACCACACAGCTGCCGAGCGAGCGGCAGGCAAGCTCTGGAAACATTTAGGTGACATGGTGCCAAAGGAGCTTCCGAGCTTTTGCTTCGCCAAGAAACACACGCCGGGGCCAAGGGGTTCGTCCCAGTAGCCGTTCCAGGGTGCATCCACACGGGCGGGTGACCTGGAGGGTGGGGGTTTCTCTGGCGGGGAGAATGGGGTGGGGTGGCCATGAGGGTTTGCCACCCAGGCAAAGCCCCCCCCCAAAGAGGCCCGGCTCTTTGGCTGCATGGCGAGAGCGCCAACTGCCCCTCCTCGCCATGCGTGTCCCCAAGAGGCTGAGTGCCTCTGACAAGGATAAGCAGGGCCGTGTCAAGCAGGAGGAGGGGGAGGAGGGTGTTGCGCTGGCAGACTCGTGAAGAGGCGGGCTGGGTGTCTCCTTGGCACAGAGAGGTGGCACCGTCAGCAGTTGGGGGTCATGTTGTGCCCCCCACCGCCCCGAACGGGAACCTACATTTGGGAGGGCAGGAGAGAGAAAGGAACAGAGCTGGCCGCAAGTTCAGCCAGCAGCGCGAAGGGGGTTGGCCTGATGTCTCCATCATCACGCCAAGAGGGGCACGTACACTTGAGAACCCTGAAATACCTTTTGGAGAATGCGGGGGGGGAAAATAAGATATATGGCTGGAATGTGATTTGCTCCCATAGTTTCTCTGTTCTTCCCGAATAACTCTGGGTCTGATGCTCCCCTTCGAGCCACCGGCCTGATCCACAGCATCGCAGATGTTCAAAAAGCGCATGCTTGGCTTCGGCCGGGGTGGTTGGGTGGGGAAGGGAGCAAGAGAAGTGTGAAGCCCTTTGGGACTTCTTCCCACAAAGGAGAGGGTGATATCTAAAGGGGGGAAAAGCAAGGGGAGCCAAAGAAAGCCGGAGGGTGTAGAGGAAACGGTAGCAAGAGTTCAGAAAGAAGAGAGGGAGGGGGAGGAAGGACGCAAGCAAGCGAAAGGGAGAATAAAGGTGCGCATCCAGTCCAGATGCCTAACTTCTTAATTCCAGACCCGGACAGACTCCTTTGTTTTTAACCTGGCGGAGATGATGAGAAGCCCTTCTGCTTCATCATGCTTTGGGGTTCTGGCCATACAAGCAAAAGAGGTCAAGTGCCGGCTGTAAAACAGGCAGATGTTTACTAAAGTGAGACGGGACCGATAAAGGTGGAGGGAGGGGCCCCCCCGGTTACATTGGGGGACCTTTCCCCTCTCTCCCCTCGTCAGCCGGGCCTGTTTTGTCTGGGCCATCCGACCCAGCAGCCATGTTGAATGGAGACAATGGGAGTTGTAGTCCAAAACACTTGGGGAGGGCGTCAGGGGAAGGACGGTAGCCTTGTGGGCAAGGAGAGAGATTCCCTCCTGTAAAAGGGGGGGGGGAGTTTGCCAGAATCTCCCTGTTTTATCCAAATAACCCGAGCAATGCTTGGGGTCGCCCCTGGGAGGCCCAGGGTCTTAGAAGAAGCCTTTGTAAGACGCCTCTTCATCCAAGGGGGTGTAAGGAAGCCCCTGGCCCAGATTAGCACCTGCCTTCTTGATTCAACTTCGGTTGCCTCTTCAAGGATGCCTTCTTCCTTCCCTGAATCATACGAGATTTCTCTCTCTTCCTCTCTTGCTAACTCTTGCCCCCACCCAGACTCTCCACCCCCACCACCGTGGCTTGACCCATCACCTCCCAGCGCCGGCTTTTGAGCTACCCACGGATGATGCTGTAACCGCCCGCGTGGACCCAGATTCCTCTTTGCTGCCACCCAGCCTGGGGGGGGGCACTGCTCTTAGCAGCTCCCTCTCCCCACCTCTCTCTTTATCTCTCTCACCCAACTCTCACTTAGCAGCCAGCAGAGGGCAAGGCGAACCCAAAGAAGGGCCTTTCCCCCCCCCCTGCCTTCCCCATTTCTTGGAAGGAGCCAACCTGGGGCCATTGATGTCATGAGTCCGGTGGTGGCCTCATGTGCCCCTCCGAGGGGGGCTCCCTTGCTCAACTCTTTGTTCCACCCCACAAGGCAGGCGCTGAGGATGCTCAGCCTTCTTTTAAAATTGAGGCATCAGAGACCTCCACACATTCACTGGCTCCCATCCTTCCACCACCACCTCCTCCCCTGGAGCACAATGAAGTCTTGAGCCTGTTGTCTGGAGGAGGAGAAGGAGGACACTTTTCCAAACTCTCTCTCTCATGTGCTTGGTGGTGTAATAGACCCCCTGGGCTTACCGTGGGAGTGTTCCTCCTCACTGCTGTCATCTTCCGAGTTCTGGTGGTTCCCGTTGGTGGCCGATTTGGACCGGCTCCTGGACAAGATCCCAGATTTTTCCATGACGGACGGCATCCTCCAGATCTCAGGAGATCCCCTGCGCCTGATGAGGTTCTTTTTTTCTCAGGTTTTGCACCTCTTTTAAGGAAGCTTGGAATATTTGTTATTTCAAGAGGCAGATATTGCAAGCCCGCTTGTCGTTTTTTCCAAACATAACCCCCCCCCCAACTCTAAAATGTTGCTGAGAAATTAAGGTCCTTTGTAAAATCCATGGTGGGAAGGAGGTGGAAGTTCGAGGCCAGTTTTCTCTCCAGAAAGGCCAAGGAGGGTCAGGAATTCAGGTTTTCCTTTTCCATTCTGAAAATGCTCTTGTTTTCCCTGCCAAAGTTGCGGCAAACTTCCTTGAAAATGGGTATGAAGGCTGGAGGGGAAACTCTTGTGGCCGAAGTTAGGCAGGAGGCGTGCTATATGAAGGCTGGAGGGGAAACTCTTGTGGCTGAAGTTACGCAGGAGGTGTGCTAAGAGAGAAAGAGAGAAAAAAGAGAGAGAAGAAGAAGCTGATCACCTGGAAGTGGAGAAATAGGAAACTGATCAACTTCTAAAAAAAACACGGGCTACCTCTTCTAAATCTAATTCTAAGAACAAGCCGCTTCTCCAGACAAGATCACAGATATCTCCGCTCTGAAAAAAAAAATGGGGGAAATGGTGGTGGGGACAGGACCGTCAAAATCCTACAGAGAGGCATAAAAGGGGAGAATAAGTCTTGTGGTTCCTTTTTTTAAAAAAATTCTGCACTCCCCCTTTTTAAAAAGTTGCTCCTTAAGAGATGCAGCTACTTTTGGGGTGGGGGGAGGAAAGAAGGGAGAGGGTCCCCCTTCCAGAGTCCCCCAGGGAGGTGAAGAAAAGCCCCGGGCGCCCCCCCCCCCGGGTGCGTGAGGAGGCGCTCCCAAGGAAAGTTGCGCGGGGAGGCGGCTTATTTGCAAAGCGCTCCCGCGGCCGCCGCCGCCGCTGCGACCATCGCTTCTTTCCCTCCCTCTCGCACAATGAGTCTGGCGCTCGCTTCTGCTCTCCCTTCTGCTGCTGCTGCTGTGAGAAAGTAGTTCCAGCCCTGGGCCTGAGCACCTCCCCTCAGACCCTTCCGCCGGCTTTGCACATCTGGCCAGAGGAGGCACACAGGGGCAAAGGAGGCGCGCAGGGAAGGGGGGCGGCCAGATGTTCTGGGTGGAGACGGGAAAAAGGTCAGGGGGAGGAGGAGGAAGGGGTGCATCCATCCATCTCTAAAAATCAAAAATCCCCCAAGGTGCTCATTCTGGAAAAAAGAAGGAAAAGGAAAGGATTCCCATTTATTTCTTCCCCCCTCCAAAAAAAAAGGATGAAAGAAATCATCTCCCTTGTTGAAGCCAAGGAAGAGAAGCTGATCTATCCTTCCCAGCAGCGGACACGTGGGAAGGTGACTCTTCCCTCCTCGGTGGCTTCTCCCTCTCTCTGATCTTGGCCCCTTTCACTTTTCTCCCCAACCAGAAGGAAGGCGGACGCTGTTGTTCAGTAGCTGCACAACAGGAACCCGAGTAAACCCACCACCACCACCACCACGTGTAGGCAACATTTCGGCCCTGGAAAGTCGTCTCCCATTCTTCTCCACCCCCCCCCCCAGTTTCACAGGAGCATCCTTTTATACTTGCAGTGCGGAGGCGATGGAGGAGGAGGAGGAAAAGGCATCTCTGAGGTGGGAAGCCCAGTGCCTCCCTGGCAAGAGCCAGCCGTCTCCTCTGAACTGCTTTTTTAAAATAAGATTTCTTAAATCTCAGCGCTGGGATCCAGGAGGGAGCCGGCCAAGGCCTTGGGAGGAATAGAAAACAAACTTTAAGTGAAAAAAAAAAACCAATAATACATTAGCTACCGGTTCTGTAGAACTGGTGCGAACCTGCTGAATCCCACCACTGCTTGGGAGGAATAGAAAACAAACTCTTAAGTGGAAAAAAAAACCTCCCTTCTGGCCTGCCTCCCTATGTGGGGAAACCTGGGAGGAAATTCTCCTGGCCGTGATCAGGATGGTTAGGGAAAGCCTACCGTAATGCTTGGATGCTGCCCACCATTTGAGTGAGTGGGATTTGTCAGTTCCCTAGCTGGGCCAGAGTCCTTCCCTCGGGCCTCTCTGTTCCCAAAGTCATTCCTCGGCTCTCCTTCCATCCTGGCTGGATGGCTTCCCTCTCAATTCTGCCCTCGGAGAGGGTTCAAGGCCCATCTTGGCACAGAATTTCATAGCTGGGTTCCTTCCTTCTCTCCCACCCACTCCCAAACCCCCCACCAAACACATTTGGGGGGGGAGAGAACCTAAACATCAAGGTGGCGCACACATAGAGAATGTGCTCGGATACCGAGGTTGATCACCTTTTCTAATTAGTGGGCGATATTAAATGGATCTACACGGGCAGGATGGAGAATTCAGTACCCCCTTGAGATTCCCGCCAGGCTTTCTGAGAGATGCATGAAATTTCAGATTTAAAGTGGGGAGCGGGTGCTTTGAGGCAGGCAGGCTGAGCGAGTTCCACATGGATCGAGCTCAGAATAAACTTGAATGGTGGGTAACGCACTGACCCATGGTGATTCTGGTCCATCGCTCCTCGGAAACAGGCCCCCTTTCATTTCACCGGGGCTGATTCCCTGAGACGTAGCCTAGGATTGTGGCCAGAACCAACCCCGCAGTGCGATATTTCGGTAGAACTCCAGTAGCCATGTGCTGAAGAAAAAAGGGGCAAAATCCAGCTGAGAAAAACGGGGCGCATAAGGACAGTCGTGGAGCCATTTTTTTCTCCATCAGCAGGTTCCTGCTCATACAGTATACTAACACTCGCGGCCCTCATTCTCTGCACACAGCACACAACCAGGCGTGCAAAAGAGAGAGAGAGCGCGCTAGAGATGGGGGAGGAATATTTGCACCACGTCCCGTATGGGATCCCATAGGTGGCTATGGCCAAGACCTTTCGTTCTGAAGCAGAGACCAAGGTTATCCTCGGCAAGCCTATGGAGGAGGTTGGTTTTCATGGGAAGAGCCGCCTAATGGGGGGGTGACCTTTCCAGTTTTTGGGGGGGAAAGGCGCTGTGGAGGAACAGTCTCTGAAATGGGCTGTAAATGCTCCTTGATGCGTATTTTGACATCCTATCAATGATTCCATAAACAATCCTGTCTCTTCATGATAGGCGTAAAAAGCTTGCATGCCCCAAGGAACAATCCTATTTTTACGGGCATTCTGTTATCATATTTGTAGAGTCTCTTTCTGTGTATATTTCCATTTACTTCCCATGCCTTTCCTGCGAGGAGTCAGAATTTTGACTATTCTGGGCAAGGCAGCCCCAGACAACTTCACCACGCTGCTTCTGTCCAGGTCCCCTATGGCTCCCCAGTCTGTCAGTTCTTCTCCTTCCGGCCCTACATCTCCCGATTAGTGTATCCCGAATGATCAGCTGTAACAAGCTGGACGTTGTTGCCCTGGAACTCCTCTCCCTTTCTATTATTTTTTTCCCCCAAAAGCTGGCTTTTTCTTTTTGAGACTGTTTGTTTGTTTCTTTTAAAAAACAACAACAACAACAAAGAAGGGGGTCTTAATTCCTTATAGAAATTGGTGATCCCCTTCTGCTCAAAGCCTCTCTCCCCTTTTGGGGGTTCTTCTTATTCCGTTTCATAAATATCCGCCTGTTTCCTGTCATTTCGCTCGCAGTGGGATTCGCTGCAGGAATAAGGCTTTACCAGCCCTCCTAGGCAGCCAGATGGATGATTCAGGAAGGCTAAAAAAAAATAAAAATAAAAAGCACCACACAAATCTGAGGAAGATCTGAAACAGGCCAGGGCTCTTTCTTTATTTACTTATTTATTTTAAAGCCCAGGCATGAAACAGCACCGGCTGGGCGAGGGTGGAGGGTGGGTGGCCCAGAGGAGAACAGAGGAGGCCAGGTGTCAAAAGCAGGGCCTTCTCGGGTGCAAAGCCACTCGGCGGCTGCTGCTGCTAACCAGAGGGAGAAATTCCCTGCTGGAGAGGGGAGAACAATAGCTTATCTCCTTCCCTCCTTCCAGCAGGGAAAGAGGGGGTGGGAGCCGAAGAGGGAATTCTGCTTGTTGCAGGCGCTTTGTAGGAGGCCTTTGATGTCCAAACCGAGCCCCATGAGAGCCTTCCAGCCCCGGACAGGGGAGGCGGACAGGGGAGGCGGTGCAAAGTACAGCAGGGTGATGGGGCTGGAAGGCAAAGGACAGGGGAGGCGGTGCAAAGTACAGCAGAGCGATGGGGCTGGAAGGCAAAGTGGGGGGGGGAAGAGAGAGAAAGAGAGAGAAAGAAAGAAAGAAAGAGGTTGATCCGGCAGGAAGAGAGGAGTCTGGGGGGGCATCCACCCAGGCTCGCTCACTCCCCGACTCTTGTTTGTTTCCTAGCCAATTAGCTGGAAGGGAATGCAATGGGGCACTCACTCTGGATGGGCGCCCTGGGTCAGGCCCATCGCCCATCATCGCCCATCATTGCCCCTGTGGCTGCCCTGCCCAGCTTTTGTATTTGAGAGGTCCTTCTCCTCCTCCTCCTTCCTCCCACCCACCCCCTGCCCCAGAGGGCTGCTGCAGGAGAGGAAGGGGGGGGGACAGCCATGTGCCTGGAGGAATAGCCGAGTGGGTGGGAGGGAAACAGCCCCGCCTGATTGATCAGGCTTGGAAGGAGCTGCAGTCCCTCAGCCAGGAAGCCATGCGGGCTTCTCTCTCTCCCCTGCACACAAAAGGGGGGGGGGAGAGAGAGAGAGAAAGCAGCATGACAGGAGCCATGGTGCGGGGGACCGTTTGGGGAAAACAATGCCAAAAATCAGGTAATAGCAATACACACACATTACCACCCCTTCTTCTACAGCACATCACTGTTTTATTCCCAGATGGAGATCAGAGACTTAAGAAAACAAGATCGGCCTCCACCCCGG